TGTGTCACATAATGTATATACATGCATATTAATAAAGGCCAAATTTATCATTACCTTTGCTTTATGAAGATCAACTCCATACATAGACAACTTTTTGGCATTCTCAAGAAATTCCAAGTCAGCTTGAGCTGGAGTCATGGACCTTTGATAAAATGAAAATAAAAATTCTTTCAGTATCATAGTGTCATCATTTACAGTAATAACATTTGTGTATTTATTGTGCTTTCCTTATATACAGTATATACCAATATGTATGTAAGATATATTTCAAAGGCCAGGCACAGTAGTTCACGCCTATAATCCTAGCACTCTGGGAGGCCAAGTAGGGTAGATTGCTTGAGCTCAGGATTTCAAGAGCAAGAGCCAGACCCTGCATCTACGAAAAATACAAAAATTAGCTAGGTATTGTGGCAGGCACCTATAGTTGCAGCTACTCAGGAGGCTGAGGCAAGAGGATCAGTTGAGCCCAAGAATTTGAGGTTGCTATGAGCTATGACACCACAGCACTCTATCAAGGGCAACAAACTAAAACTGTCTCAAAAAAAAAAAAAAAAGATATATTTCAAAGTCCTGAAAGTAGATTATGGAATAAGACTCTGACCACTACCTGTGTCTAAATAACGAAAATATACCTTAGAAAAAAGTATCTCTCAGAAACAAAGTCACCAAAAAAATCAGAAAAAAATTTTTTAATTCTATTTAATAATTGCCTTATAAAGCCACCTCATCCACCATCAGTTCTGTCCCCCTCTCCCTTCTCTTCAGCCTTTTTCTCCAACACACGTAAATTCCTCCCACTAATTTTTCTTGCTAAAATGATGACCAAATTAAATCCTCTCAGGGCGTGGTGCAATTTACAATATCCTCCTAGCTGCCCTTTTCTATCCATAACCCTTGAATCAAGTAATTATGGAAATTAAACAAGAGGGCAGCAGACATTACTTAACTGGAGACTGTTAATGGGGGCAGGCTTGATGAAAAGAAAACTTCAAATAACAGATGGTGTCCTGCCCACTGATCTAAACAAAATAAATTGGTTAATAGAAGCAGATAGATAATAGGGCTGCTTTCTCTGTTATTAAGATGTCTTCATTACCAGGCATATAATGAATTAGATTTGTTTGAAAACAATCAGTCTCACTGTCTAAACATTCACTGTGATGGTCTTTCCTTCTCCTGCGTAAGTTTCCTCTCTTTTGAAAAGTGCTCATAAGCTAAGGAGATCTGTAGAGCTTTTAAGACAAAAATATCACTCCTAATGCCGCGTAATTCAAACCAATCAAGTACAACTACAGCCACACCCACAAAGAAAAACATGTAAATGCCAGTTTCCCCATAAGACTACCTCAAGCTATAGAAAGCAGCAGGGGTCTCTTAACAAGGAAAAGTCACTTCTGAACCCATCTGTCTCATTAAAAAGGACAAAGGATTCCTTAAAACGACCACAATCAAAAGAACAAAAAAACCCTCAGGAGATCAGCTGTAGATTTGTTAATGACTAAAATTCTTTTCACACACTCTAAAGCGTCACACTTGAGTTGTATTTATTAATGGAAAGGAGAATGGAAAAATTAACCCATATGCAAGACTGTACATTCAAGACATTAAAAATATCTCCCAAAAGTTTTATAAACATTTTTCCCATAAAAGTTATACAATTTTCTAATACTGTTACTCTCAGTTATTTTACTTTTACTTTTTTTTCCCTAGACAGTCTTGTTCTGTTGCCCAGGCTGCAGTGCAGTGGTGCCATCATAGTTCACCACAGCCTAGAACTTTTGGGCAAAAGCAATCCCCCTCCTACCTCAGAAAGGTATGTTCCACCACACCAGGCTAATTTAAATTTTTTTTGTAGAGATGGGGTCTTGTGATATTACCCAGCTTGGTCTCAAACTCCTGGCCTCAGGAATCTTCCTGCCTCAGCCTTCCAAAGTGCTAGGATTGAGCCACTGTGTCCAACTGTTTCTTTGTTGCTACTATCAATGGGATGAATTTTAGCATTTTTAAGCTGGAATGAAATATGAATATTGGAGAGAACAACACTTTCATTTTGCTACTGAAGAAACAGGTCCTGAGGAATCATACGGTCATGAGCAGGTAAAGACTCTTAGTCTGAAGCAGCCCTTAACTCAGAACTCTAGTCACATGGGCTAGAATCTTGGCTCTGATACTTAAGAGTAGTCAGTCAGTGTCTTCTTCAATCTCTATGAAGAAAGAATCATCGTAATGACTATTTCCAGATACCAAGAAAGGAAATGAACTTTTTGTCTTTGTTGAATCAATGAATATGACTTTTAAGATCAAATGAGATAAAGATTGTAGAACTGCTTTCTAAACTGCCTGGCATGGTGGCTCAGGCCTGTAATCCTAGCACTCTGGGAGGCCCAGGCAGGTGAACTGCTTGAGCTCAGGAGTTCCAGACCAGCTTGAGCAAGAGGGAGACCCTATCTCTAAAAAACAAAATAGCCAGGTGTTATAATACTGAAGGTGACAAAGTGAGAGTTTGTCTTAAAAAAAAAAAAAAGTGTATTATTATTGAAACTTTTATTTTCTGATAATCCAGTGGTCCATTTACACACAGATCATAAAATAAAATTAGGAGAAATAATTTGGATCACTTGAAGACAAAATTGAAAACACTAATGAAACAAGCATGATAAAACCTTCACTCACTCTTTCAATCCTAAGAGACACTACTGGGGACAATTTAAATTTCAAACTATGTAATTAGATGCTTCTATAAATCAGCATGCCTTAAAATTGTATTATGGGCAGGACGTAAGAGGAGATCTTTAAAACTTCCTTTTTTTTTGAGACAGAGCCTCAAACTGTCACCCTAGGTAGAGTGCCGTACCATCACAGCTCACAGCAACCTCCAACTCCTGGGCTCAAGTAAGTCTCCTGCCTCTGCCTCCCAAGTAGCTGGGACCAAGGCACCCACCACAATGCCTGGCTATTTTTTGGTTGCAGCCATCATTGTTGTTTGGTGGGTCCGGGCTGGATTCGAACCCACCACCTTAGGTGTATGTGGCTGACGCCTTAGCCACTTGAGCCACAGGCGCCGAGCCTAAAACTTCCTTGTTAGGCTTGGCACCCTAGCTCAGTGAGTCAGGCGCCAGTCATGTACACCAAGGCTGGCAGGTTTCAGCCTAGCCCAGGCCTGCTAAACAACAATAACAACTGCAATCAAAAAAATAGCCAGGTATTGTGGTGGGCACCTGTAGTCCCAGCTACTTGGGAGGCTGAGGCAAGACAATTGCTTAAGCCCAAGAGTTTGAGGTTGCTGTGAGCTGTGATCCTATATTACTCTACTGAGGACAATAGCTTGAAACTCTGTCTCAAAAAATAATAAAAAAAAAAACTTCCTTGATAGTTAAAAATAGTATTTATATTTGAAGTTTGACTAATGCTTTATAATTTTTTATATAATTTTAAATTGTATATGAAAACACTACACTGTACCCCATGTTTGCATTAATATATACAGCTATTATTTAATTAAAAAAATATGTATATATATAATTTTTAGCCAGATGCAGGGGTGTGCACTTGTAGACCTCGTTACTTGGGAGGCTGAGGCAGGAAGACCACTGAAGGCCATGAGTTTGAGTCCAGCATGGGTTACATAGACAGACTGTCTCTAAACTCATCTAGTTTGAGGCCACAGAGTAAAATGACTGTGCCTGTAAATAGCCAGTGCATTCCAGCCTGGGCAACATAGAGAGACCCTAACTTCAAAATATATATATTTTAAAATATAAATATTTATTTGAAATAATGTTTCCTAAAAGTTATATATAATACATATAATTTTTTCCTGAACCACCTGAGAATAAACTGCAACCTAATGACCCATCACTCTGAATACTTTTGCTACAAACTAAAAATCTGTCCTACAAACAAGGATATTCTTCTACATAACCCCAATCCAACATACACCAAGGCTGGTGGGTTTGAACCTGGCCCAGGCCAGCTAAACAACAATGACAACTGCAACACAAAATAGCTGGGCATTGTGCTGGGCACCTGTAGTCCCAGCTACTTGGGAGGCTGAGGGTAAGAGAATCACCTAAGCCCAAGAGTTAGAGGTTGCTGTGAGCTGTGATGTTATGGCACTCTACTGAGGGCGATATAGTGAGACTTTGCTCAAAAAAAAAAAACAAACAACAGGGTGGCACCTGTGGCACAAGGGCAGGGCGCCGGTTCCATATGCCAGAGGTGGTGGGTTCAAGCCCAGCCCTGGTCAAAAACTGCAAAACAACAACAACAACAATAACAACAACAACAAAACAAACAGGGAACTAACACTGACACATTACCGCCATATAACTGTCAGACCCCCCTCTAAAGTTTACCCAGTTGTTGGAGAAGGATCCAGTTTAACGTCATGAGTTTCATTTAGTTCGTGTATCTTCAGGCTTCTTCAATCCAGAATGACTCCTTCATCTTTCTTTGACTTTTAAAACCGCAACCCTTTGTAGATTACAGACCAGTTATTCTGCAAAACGTTTTACAATTTGGGCCTCTGTGAGCTGACTCATGTGATGCGTCTTTGACAGGAACATCAGAAGTGGTGCTATATTCTCACTGCATCTATTAGGTGGTACATAACTCCAATTTGTCCCTTCATGGGTAATATTCATTTTAACCTCTGATATCTTCCAGGTTTCTCTTCTGTGAAATTCCTCTTTAACTCTTTGTAATTAATAAGTACTTTGTGGAAATATCCTGTTCCTTAATCAAACTTTGAATTTATTCACTCATTTATTTATATCAGTATGGACTCATGAATTCTTGCCTTATTTAATGTAATACAATTAATTCTTTTCTTTCTTTTTTCTTTTAGAGACAGGATCTCACTCCGTTGCCCAGGCTAGAGTGCAGTAGCAAATCACAGTTTACTGTAGTCTTGAACTCCTGAGCCTAAGTGATCCTCCTAAGTAATGATAACTACAGATGCATGCCTGGCTAATTTTTAATTTTTTTGTAGAGATGGGGTCTTGCTATGTTGTTTGGGGTGGTCTTGAATTGTTGGCCTCAAGTGATCCTCTGGCCTTAGTCCAGGTGTCCTCAAACTATGGCCCACAGGCCACATGCAGCCTGCCTAGGACATTTATCCGGGCCGCCAGGTGTTTTTGCCAT